TTTGTGGTTTATCTATTTAAATGTCGGTAAATATTTACACATAATACAGAAAATACTGTCAAACAATTCTCACTGTGGATTTTCGTGAGATCAAGAAAATTAAGGCCAGCTATCTGTAAGAATACTAAACATTTGCTTTCCTCCTTTAAAGTAATTTTTAAGCCCGCAATGCCTCCTCACAGTGACAAGTGAAGGGAGAAAATAAACAGAACAGAAATTGGGGATATTATGTTTGTCTACAGCTGGGTCTAAAGAAAAGGCCCTGAGGACCCTCATGCTCTTTAACTGACAGTCTGTATTCCCCATACAGATTTTCTCTCTAAAGATATCATGACTCTCAATTATTTAATAAATACTTCTTATAATCAGAGACCCACTTCACCAGCCCCTGCTCCTGTTAGAAGCAATTTACCTTCAGTGGATCTGGAAAAAGAGAAGTTAGCTTCTCAGCATACTCGTGGATTGCTGGGTACATGTAGATGTTGGTGGTATGCCACAGGCGAGCCAGCTGCTTCTGGGTAGCCATAGTTACCTTCCTGCATGTAGCAAGGGAGAGACAAAGGGACTGAATTCCAGACAGACTCCTCACTCATACATGCACATACCTCTGTGCTATCGATTCTGCAAACGCAGATGCTGCACCATGTGTCAGATGGAGGAACAAATAGACCAAATTAATGAAATTTCAAAATGTAGCAGAAATTGAACTGTGACACATGGCAATTCTGTAAATTATATTCTGGTTTTAGGCTCACAGGGCTGCAGATAATTGAAGCACAAAACAAACATAGGTGTGTCTTCCTGTATTTTATACAATAAATCAAAAAGCAACATACTTACGGGTGACAGTGTCCAACACTGACAGTGACAATTCCAGCAAAGAGATCAAGGTATCTTTGTCCCTCATGATCAAACAACCACTGCATATGCCCCTGGTGCAGCAGCAATGGCTTCTTGTAATACGTTCGCAGTGAAGGCGCAATATTTTGCTCACGGATCTTCTGCATACGTTCATACGGATAGGACTGAGTGGAATAAAACAGTCAGCATCCAGCTGTGCCTTCTAACAGATTCCTTGTAACAGATTCTGGCACATAGAAGGATGTTCAAACCTCTGAAACTCAGCTTTTTGAAATAAGGCTGTTGTTCTACACATACCTGTTTCTTACATGTTTTCAAATTACAGATTTGTCACACAGGTATGTCTACAGGTTATATCCTGGCTGTAGCAGTTGGGCTGTGCTCAAAGAAGCAAATTTATGATCATATTTAGCAGATGAACCTATCTCCCAAACCCAGTAATGAAGCTTTATTTAATTTCAGTGTAGTATGCATGACTTACTTCGTATTTTTCAGGTACAAAATCACAAGGAGGCATTTTTGTTTTGATGGAGATAGAACTTTTCCATTTCTGCTGTCTAAAGGCACCTATAAAATAGTAAGAGAATTATGAAACACTTGGCAAACTACACACCTAAAAGATTTGCTCAATAAATTTGTTCATGGAACACATAAGATACAGTCACAGAAAGTTTTGGAGGGTTTTTTGGTCTGAGAAGTTTTCTTTGGGGAAAAATAAGTAAGAGGCAGAATATGTGAAATTTTAAAAGAAAGGTGTTTATGTTTCACCCATTAAAACTAAAGTTTTCAGTTTCACACAGACTTCTATTTTGACAATAATTGTAGTTTAAAAATAAAATCTGTTTCTAATGCAAGTTCTTATCTGGAAGCAGTGGGTGAACGCTCTACAGTCAGGTGCCAGGGTGACTGCAGTGGTCCCAGGGAGCAGGGCAGAGGCCCAACAGACCTGAACAAGGTGGGCACAGTAGGGCTCACCGAGAATGCCCCACATAAATGGAGCTGAGTCAGGTCCAAGGTTCACCCAGGGTGCCCAGGCAGGAGCAGGAGCACACAGGGCCAGAGGCAGGGCTGGACACAAGGCTACAGCAGAAGGCCAAGGTCTATCCAGGAGACAGAGCCAGGGCTGGGCTGGTGGCAAGGCTCACGACTCAGCTGAGGCAGGGACTGAAGGCTCAGGGCAGAGATAGAACACGGCTCCTGGGCAAGGGGTACAGCCTTGGGGGAGGCTGTACAGGGGACACAAGCTGTGCTCACTCTAGCTGCCATCTTCCATCCTTGCTCCAAAATCCTGGGAACATCACACCATCCTGCCTTTCATCGAACTGCAGATGCAATTCAGCAGGTATCAGAAAGAAGCACCTGACTGCCAGAGGTTCTGGAGACTCCCTCACTGGAGATATTCAAGAACCCTCTGGACACAATCTTGCACCAAGTGCTCTGGGATGGCCCTGCTTGAGCAGGGGGGCTGAACCAGATGACCCACTGTGTTCCCTTCCAACCTGACCCATCCTGTGACTCTGAGAGCAGGTATTTCAAGAGACTTTATTTCTGCACCTAGAACTATCTACTGAGAGTTAGACATTTGTTTTAAAAGCCAAAGGTTTTAACCAATTTCTAAAATGCATGTAAAATGTAAATGACTGAAGAATAAAGTTTCCTGAAATTAATTAGATAGAATGTCACTTCCCTTACAACCATTTACAGCACTAATGAATATAGAGTCTAAAGAGTCCAGTCTCAAAAAAGTAGTTGAAAACCCATGGATTAGGGAAGTTCTACCTTGGAACTCCTTCCAAGGGATTTGCAGCTACACCGAAAGCGCTTCCACGCGCGCTGGCCCGCGCACAGGCTCCCCCCATCCCTCACGAGCTGCACGGAGCGGGCGCAGGCCCCGGCGGGCCCGGCCCCGGCAGCGCCGCTCCCGCCCCCGCGCCCGCCGCTCCCTCACCGCCGCCGAGCCGCAGCCGCGCCGCCATGTCCTCCCGCCCCGGGCTCCGCGCCGCCCCGACACGTGTGCTGCTGTCCCTCCGGTGCCGTCACATGCCATTCTCTTGATGTCATCCCATGCTGTCCCCCCGGGTCATCCCGTGCTCTTCTTCTGGTGCTGTCCCCGTCACCCTGCGCGATCCCAGCCAGAGCCGTCTTCTGAGCCTGTTTGACTGTGAGCCCTTCAGAAGAGCCTCGACAGGCTGGAGAGATGGTCATAGAAGAACTCTCTGAAATTCTACACAGGAAAATACAGTGTCCTGCACCTGGGGAAGAACAGCCCTGGGTACCAGCACAGGTTGGAGCCCAGCTTGCTGGAAAGCAGCTCTGTGGAGCAGGACCTGAGGGTCCTGGTGGACAACAAACTGTGAACGAGCCAGCAGTGCCCTTGTGGCCCGGAAGGCAGCACAATCCTGGGATGCCTCTGGAAGAGCGCTGCCAGAAGGTCAAGGGAGGTGATCCTGCCGTGCTGCTCAGCTCTAGTGAGATCTCACCTGGAGTCTGTGCTCAGTGCTGGTCTCTGGAGCACAACAGAGACATGGAGCTCCTGGAGTGGGTCCAGCAGAGAGCTACAGAGGTGAGCAAGGGACTGGAGCATTTCTATTATGAGGAAAGGCTGAGACAATAGATCCTTTTCAGCCTTGAAGAGGGATAACTGAGAAGGGACCTCATCCCTGTCTGTCAGCATCTGCAGGGAGGGGTCAGAGCATGGACCAGGCTCTGTTCAGTGGTGCCAGACAGCAGGACATGAGGCAGCAGGCAGAAACTGATGCACAGAGAATTCCACCTGAACATGAGAAAATCTTCTTTACTCTGTGTGTCATCATGCAGTGGAAAAACACAATCACACACAGAGTAAAAATTGTCTCCCTCACTGAAGATGCCCAAGAACTGTCTGGATGCAGTCCTCTGCTGTGTCCTCTGGGGTGATGCTTGAACAGGGATTTTGGACCAGATGACCCACTGTAGTGCCTTTCAACCTGACCCACTATGTGGTTCTACGAATTGTGTTATGTTAAATACATCTGGGTGGATGTGGAGAAAGTGACAGATATGCTGAGAGCATATGCTCTATGCTGATGACCCATTTATTCTCTTGTTTTGGTTGTGTTTTGTCAGTGAAGAGATGTAGCACAGCCTCCTACAATGACAGGAGAAGTGGGAAGCTATATTTACTTCCTCCATTACCAGCCATTAGCAGGTAATGGAGGAAGCCCTGGGCAGCCACGCACTCACACTCCCAACCAGTGGGAATGGGGAGGGGAGGGTAAAAGCTGGAAAACCCTTGGGCCATCTCCAGGGGAGCAGGGCCTGTCTCATGTAATGGTAACTTGGGAAGACAAACTCCATAGCTCCAAATGCCCTGTCTTTACTCAGTACTTCAGAGTGAGCACGATGCCATGGTCTGGAATATCCCTTTGGTCAGTTGGGGTCACCTGTCCCAGCTGTGTCTCCTCCCAGCCTCTCATGCACCCAGAAAAGTCCTTGGCTCCATGTAAGCTCTGCTCATCAACAACAAAAACATCTCTCCTATCATCACTGTGTTCAGCACAAATCCAAAACACAGCCCCAGCTACAGTGGGGAAAATTAACTCTGCCATATCCAAAATCAGCACATCCTTGTAATACTTAAGAATCAAGGGTCAAGGTGGCATTTCCTGGAATGGAAATTGGTGCACAGTTTAACTAGACACAGTTGCCAGTGAGAGGTATTTCACAGTGCTTTTGATGACCCTGCCTGCTCCTAAGGTAGAAAGCTGACCACAGGTAACCTGGGGGACAGCCCTAGTTTTGCAGGAAAACTGCCCAATGTTGGTGCAAAGGGTCAGAGATTAATACCTTCTAGTAACCAGGGCAGTGCTTACACACTTTAGGACTTCCCCAAGTTTTTTGATCAAACTTTACATTTGCTAAACAAATCCCTGAATTTCAATGATAAATATAATTTAAATGAAGAGCCATAAAGAAACATAAAATTTGTTACCTGGTTCAATTGCTCAGTGCACCAAAATTGGTTAAGTATCTGTCATGGAACTTTCCCCATGGAGGACAGCAGGATCCTGCCCTACAGAGTGTCTTGGATGTTCCTTTTTCTTCCTATACATTGTATAGCAGAAATGTTTCATATCATGAAGAAATATAGACTCTGGGAATTTTATTCACAAACTTTTATTAAACTGAAATGAGAACACCATTGCAAAGAGATTTTACAATGACAAAAGATCAAAAAATTCATCACAAAGCTACAGACCTCATAACAATATTGATCTTACAAGTAAAAACACGAACAGATTTTAGTAAAGCCAGCATTTTCAGTATTAAGAACTTAAAAAATGTATTTGAAAGCATTTTCCTTTAGATACACTTAGAAACAATGAAGAATTCCTGAGCAACTACTTTTATACCAGTATTCTCCAAAGAATGTACATACAACATATGAAATCTAATTCTTACAACTTATTGTATTTTAGAAATTTACAAAAAAATTTGGATCTGGTTCACAGAATAATTGTGCTTAAAGTCATTCTGTTGCTACAGTAATGACACTGCAAAAACCTCTCATGTATCCACATTGCACACAACTTCGGAAACTGTAGTGGAAAAAATGCCTAGCTTGTATTTGAAATCTACCAACCAAATGGTTTATGAAAATGGAAATAAGTTTGCTTTAAGTATTGGGCCAGCTCTTTCTCTGCTGAAAATACACTGTTTATTCTGGATATTATTCAGAAGGTGCAATTTTGTTTCTATGAGAGTCTGCTGGCACAATTAAAGGCAAGGGAGTTCCAGAGACTTTTACCCTCACTTCGTAGCACATCAGAATTTTGAACAAATACAATCAGTTAATGATTATCATGTTTTTTCTGGGCTGTACTTTTTCATAACAGTGCCCTCAGTACTGTTGTATCTTACACAGTGACTAAAACATACACAAAAACAACAAAAATATTTCAGAGGCCAATATAGTGCCGAGTAACTCTGAGTAATGTAACACATATATAAGAACTGATGGTTGTATTATATCAGATGAAACGTTTTTGCAGTTAGAATAGAAAAAATTTCCAAAATGAAAAATAAACAACACTAAATCAGCCCAGGAGCTCTTTCTAAGAATAGCTGAGCAGTAGTTTCCTCTCCCTTTTGGAATGAAAGACAAAGGGATGAGAATTAAGAGTAGTCTACAGCATTATGAATATTTAAAAAGATGATACAACATCATTATAGTTCTGTCTGTAGTAAAATCTATCTTTTTCTAGACATGTATAGTTTTGCATCCTACTGAAGGGATATTTTCTACAAGTCATTTGTACAATGATTTCCAGCATCCTCTAAAAATTCTACTCAGTGCTACAAGTCTCTAAGACTAACCATTGCAGGAACTGTAATGAAATCTTTGAATGTTCATTAATGTCAAAATGAGGTGAAGGTACTCAGCAGCTCACAAAAATAGATCCAAAAGCAGCATTGTTTAAAAAGATAGTTAAATAATGACAAGATCCAAGACAAGCAGCATCACCAAGTAGAAAAGGACAATAAACCTTCCAAAAAGAGGAATATATAAAAAAGACCTTTTTATATCTAACTGCTGTATGCACCCACATCTTGAGTATAAGATCAGTTTTTAGCATATCAGCACTCTTGAGGCCACACAATTAATGCAGGTATTTTTCTTAACTACTTCCAACAGATATAATAGTGCCTCTTAAAAATGCATCATATTAAAGAGATGTATTTTAATCCTAACTTGGTTATTGTCAGAATTTATTACCAAGATAGAGACTTTCTAACTAAGGAAAGTATTAACAGATACATTGTCACAGGTACAAACTGAAACAATGCCCAGAAATGCCAAGAGGCTGCTCAGTAATATCCCCAAAGTATTTTTTCTCTTGGATCTTCTAGATCATTGCATTATATATACTAAATAAAAACAAAAGAATGCTTAAGAATGGTAGACATATGTGTGGGACAATGTAAATGGATAAATAAATCTCACCTGTATATCTGTGTGAATAACAGAACGTTTTTTTATAAAATCAGTTTCTCTTTACTTTTTCCCCTTAGAAATGTAGGAAATGGAGTGTCAGATCAGATGCTGAGCCTGACTCTTCAAGTTTTGTTTTTGCCTGGGATCAATGTCAGATGAGGGAAGAAAAATCTCATAATGGATAGAAAATGAATGACTACTTCTCATGTATGAGACTTTTTCTGCTCATATGAAACAGCTGATCCATAGTAGCTGATTTCAGCATTTTGCCAACAATAAGGCTAATTGGCAAAATGGCTACTAGTTTTGTGGGCTATATCAGGTAGTTGTGCACATTCCCATTGTTGATATTAAAGTATTTTCTTCTCTTCCTTTTTTTCCCCCTCACTAACTTATTTATCACTCCTCTCAGTTCTGCTAGTGCTCATTTTTTACTGTCTATCCTCATATTTAATTCTTTCCCTTCCATTTTTTCATCTTTCCCCATTCTTTTCAGCTGTAGTCAAAATGCATTTTTTCCCTCATCATCTACCATGTACCATCCCATAGTGACTGTACTCCTTTTCCATTCTGTCACATGCAGGAGCCTTGTCCCTCTTCCTGCCACTTAGTGGTGGACTTGGCAGAACCAGGTTAACATTTGGACTATGGCCTCATAGGTCTTTTCCAACCTAAGCTGTTCTATGCTTCTATGATATTTAAACTCTTTATATCCCCATGTATTATGTATTTAGGCATCCATTTATCTTTATTTTTCTGCTCAACATACACCAGAAAAATGAAGAAAATCTCTGATTTGTTTCAAAATGGTTTTCAAGGCTGAGCCACAAGGTTATTCAAATGATTTTATAATTCAGTCCATCTTTCCACACCCACAGGAACTGGAGCCAGATTTTAGTGATACTGTTTGAGATAGTTGAGAGGAGGGCTTTCCATTTTTACTCATTGAGAGACAGAATTGAAAGGTTTGCTTCCTACGAATTCAGTTGAAAACAGGTAATTCTAAATAGAAGTATTGATAAATACCAAGTTCCATAGCTGAGATCCAGAATGAAAGCACCTCTGGAAAATTGGCTCAATCAGTCCTAGTGACCTGGAAATATGGCAAAAAACTTTTCAGGCCAGGAATGGAACTGATACTTGACTGCCAATCTGGGCACCAAGGACATTCTTACAAAGTGGAATTTTCTTTAGTTTGTTTTTTTTCCCCCCATATTAAAAACATTTAATTTTGCTACACATCTCAAATATTCCATCCTCAAACTACCACTGCCACGCAAGTGATGATTCCATGACAAGCTGTTTGTTAACAAAAATAATTCAATTTACAAATAAAATTTTAAAATTCTTGCTAGAATGAGTCACAAATTTACAGACAAAGCAAAATGCTTTTTCCTGCTTGCCGTTTAAAGGGAGCAAAAAAAAAAAAATCTGAGGTAGCAGTTATTTGAGAATGTGATGACTTATCTCATAACACTTTTTTCACTCTATTTGTCTTTATGGCTTTGTAGAAGATGTCTGATGTCTATCAACTGGCTTACAGAACTTCAGTTTCCTTGCACAACACCTTCAGATCAGTTTATAGTTGCCATGAAATTATAAAATACACTTACAGGCTTCATGATGTAAACCCCACATACACAATGCTTCAGAGAGCATAAAAAAAATCTGCTTATTCATTTTGAACACCTGATGCTACTACACTTTGGATACGTGAATGACATTTAAAGCAGCTGTCTATTTTTCAGCCATTTAAAACATAGACACACAGACATATATACTACAGAATTCACTGGATTGACATAAATCATCATTACATATTTGTTTTACAGTTTGTTCCATAAACACATACATCCTCTTACTAACATTATATCAGGTTAATTCACTGCATTTTAATTAAATAATCTTTGTAGTTACATAGTATCATCAAGGCCAACCTAAAGTCCTATCATGTGTGATACTGAGCTTTCTGAGCACATGCCAATTCATTAGTTTGTATTTCTTCTAAAGTCTGAAATATTACGCAGAAATACAAAAATTGTACATCAAATATGTCTCTGCTAAAAAAAAAATCTAGTAAATAACTGTATGGTAATGAATCATATTTGCCATTACTGAAGAAAAAATGTTAATAAAATTAGTCTGAGTCAGAAGGAAAGGTAATTAAATAAAATATACATGTTAAATTTTAGGAATGTTGTAAAAATAATTATGTAGAAGAGTTTTTATGCTACCTTTTAGGGCTTTTATGCTATTACAAAGTAGTTCACACTATAAATGACACATGGATAACTTTGGCATTGAAAACATCTTTCACATTCTTGAAATAATTATTCCAAGTGAGAAATTTGACTAATGGTGCAAGAGTTAGAGGGCTGATCCCTGTTCCTGGGGTACATTCTATTCATCCCTCTGGATATCAAAGGAGGTATGAAGAGCCTGTTTTTCCGCACTGGTGTGTCATAATTTTACACTGATTGACTCTGTAGAACTGCTTCAAAAACTCATGTACTTCCTAATGAAAAGCTTAAAGACCTGCAAGCAAAAATATCATTGCAAACAGAAAAAAAATTTTGAACATTCAAAGGACCAAACACTTAGCTGAAGATTATTCTGATTTTACGGAACACTATTTTTAAATTTTTAAAATGTACTTTCAAATGTTTAAGGTCACTTTCAGAAGCTCTGCCATTGAGAGGAGCAAGGTGTTTTGGAAAATATAAGCAAATTCAAGGGAAAATTAATCTATCTGCACATTTGTTCAGCTTCAAGAATTAAATATACTTATGACAATGCATTTAAATTACATTTAGCTAGCAAATCCCCCAAAACTTCAAAGCAGCAAGCAAATGCCCCTTTTCCACTGCAGTTGACTTCCCCTTTTCACAGGGAGCCATGATGATTTGGCATATTGAGACATTCATCAGCAAAGGTGGGAGATGCTCAACACCACACAAGTAATTTGGGCTACAACTGTTTTAGAGTTTCAGTATTCATTTATGACAAAGCACAGAACCTCCTTGACTCTCCTTCTGTGTGGACTATTGAAGGCACACATGCCTACAGTTAGGCAGGATGAATCACATACTTTAAACCTGCTAACTGTTATGTCTGTTTGCTTTAGGTGAAAAGTAACTTCAGGTAAAAAGATATGGGTGGGAACAGCCTGTTGCTGTCGGATATTTGGGTAGTTACTGTGTTCTAACCTAAGAAATCTATTCTATAAGGAGCATCTTTAGGCTGTAGGCTTGATGAGATACTACAGCTTCTGTGCATTACTAGACACATCCCAGAAGGCTTGTAGCAGCCTATCTTTATGCACACTGTCAGACACAGTGTGTTGTCAGCTTATACACTTCCACACACACAAGTTCTTCATAACTCGGGAGGTTTTCTGCAGTACTTCTAGCATTTCTAGAAATTTGTAAGGTATACTACAAACAGAGTATCTATGGTAATTTTTTTCTATTAACTATAACTGAACAGAGTTTTATGTTTGATACCTGGAGTAGCCCCTTCATATCTTCACATGTTAAATAAGTGGTTGAATTAGGAATCTAGGATACCTTCCCACATCTTCAGCAGAGCATCCATACTGCACTGATCAGCCCCTGAGAGTGGGCAGTTGCCTGTATAGAGGACAGGCTCTAAATCTGATGCCATCCTAATGTTACAGTCTACACTACCACTGACATTTATAGACACAGAGATACTTAGTTAAGCTCTAATATCCTGCCTGTGCAAAGGCTAGGTGATTCTACCAATCTGTGCTTGAGCAGTTCCATGGCTTCAAAGGTAAAGGGTGAGAATCTGATTTGCTGAATTAGAAATTCAGCCTTCTGGGCCCTCTGTGGCCTTCTGGGACCTTCAAAATCTGAAATTCTCTTTTGTCTGGCTCTGCAGCAGGTACCTGATCCCACAGGAAGGCTCACTCAGTGCACAAAATAATAAAAATATGGAGAAAAGTAAAGCTGTTCAGGAAGGAGACTAACAAAAGAGAGCCCGTCTATCAAATACACTCTCCTCCACAGGTACAGGATGATTTCCTCACCTTAAGTTTCAGTTTCCCCTGAAGCTAGAGATGCTAGCTAAATACTTGTCCTGCCTTGAATCTGTCACCACATAGACATAGTTTTCTGGGCTCAATTAAACTTTTGTTTCAAGAAGGAAGGCCGGAGCAACTTAGTAGCCACTACAGCATCATTTTGATTCTGTCTTCAGTTACATGGGATATAACAAATCCTTACTGTTCCCACTGCTGTTCTGGGGACATATGACCAGCCTAAGTACATGGACTCATCTCCTCACTTCCACTGCTTTTTCAGTGGAGGTCTGAATCAGACCTTCGAGGCTGATTCCAAAACAAATGTTTATAAATTCATGATAAAAAAATCTGACTTCAGACTTTACTTCGAGGCTCAGAGAAAAGTGCAGGATACAGGAGAGCCCCATGTCATTTACAACTGGCATAAGAATACAAATTCAAAGGGAAAGAACCTCGGGTCTCAAAACCTAAACTCTATTTTAATTATATAATTACAGGTGATATAAAACCTGTGAAACAAATAATTTACAATTCAAATAGTAAGACATTTGTAATATATTAGAAATATAGTTTAAAAATGTTTCCATATTCTTAATTAGTATAAAGTTTAATTTTATGCTTCTTATAGAAATTACAGGTTTACCTGTTACTGCCTCAGCAGAAGGAAAGAGAAAAGTTCCTAGGCAGCTAAATAGCATTGGGAAATCAAAAAATATTTTACTTTGCTCTTTTTTTTGGTAATAGAAAAATAGCCTTTAAAAATAGATTGTTAAACATATGGGCTTATATTAAAGTAAAATTGTATATTATATACAGTAAGGCAGTATATGACATATTATCCTGCTTTCTTCTTCATTTTGGTTTGTCTGGACTAGGATATGAATGGGATGCAGTTTTCTGTCACATAGAAACAAAGCAAAAATATATTTAGAAGTATTTGTTATTTTACTACAATTTGTAGAATATATTAGTTTTTATATATGATTTGTCATGTACAAGAGTTCCTTTTTCTCAAGGATTGAGAAAAAAGATAAAGAAAACTTAATGTAGTGTCAGAATGCACTCATAAGAAAACATATTATAGGTAAGAACACAGTTATGCAATGATTTATCTAATGTAAGAACTCAGCTCAGATCACTGTGGTTTGCTGACTGACCCATAACAATTTTCATCTTTATTGAATCTGTGGTATTTCCTCAGTGCATTTTCATGACAGACAAGATCCATTTCCTCATTTCACTGTATCAGAAATGTGTGCTAATGATCCAAGATTTACATCCATGATTATTACCTCAATTCACAGATTATTTTATTACCTGTACAATGCACATAGGAGATTAGGCTTTCAGAGGCTAGACTTTTCTAAACAACTGTTTGTTATGTGATTTTGTTTTACTGTGTGTAAAGACTAAGTATGTGCTGTACTAAAAGGTTATTTGAAGGACGGCATAAAGGAAGATGGATCCATGTAGTCTGATCCACTGGTGTCTCTTCTGGAGTCACTTGGAGCTGTTGTGCTGTAGCTTGTGTTCTTCTCAGCTTGACTTTGCTGAGGGTTCTGAGATGTTTCTGCTACAGGTTCTTGAGATACAGGTGTGTTCTGGCTGCGCTGATCTGGCAATAATACTAAAATGTGATGGTCCACAACTGTTGAGACCTTGGTATATTCTTTGCTGGTTCCTGGAACAGTGCATTTTTTTGTCTTTCCACTGTTTTCTTTATGTTTCAGTAATAGAGTTGGTTCCTCATCTTGTCTGACTTTATGAACTTCTACATAGTCCATTAGTTTAGGATTCAGGAAAGGTGACTTGTTACTATGTTCATTTTGTCTGACCTGCACTGTGGTTTGGTCAGTTTTGGAATACTCCATCTCGCTTACCTTTTCCACATCATCATACACAGTTTCAGCAATAGGATATAGCGACTGACGATTTTCTTCATTTCCCACCAAAACTGGTGAATTGTTCACATTTGTGGTGTTCAGTGTTATCTTGAATGCCTCCACAGTGCTGTGGTAGGCAAACATAGCAGCCTGATTACTGGGTAACTGAGCTGCCAGCCAAGTGCACGTCTTTATACTCTCACAAGGGAGTGTTTTCTGTTCTGAGGCCATACACCGAGTGTCCCAGCTCCCTTTCCCCCCTTTCTTTTCTTTAGCTCTTACATCTTGTGTTTGAAGAGCAGATGGAAGGCTGCGGGATTCCCTGCACTTCACAGGGAGGAGAGAAGGACTATCACAGCTCCCTCGGCCTGAGTCACTGTCTGTTTCCTTGAGCATAATTTTTGTATTTTTACTGGGAGTGTCATGACTTGGCATAAGTTGCTGATCCTCACTGTCCTCTACCTCCAGATATTCTATCAGTAGTTCCTCACAGTCTGATGTTGGAGGGAAACCATGGCAACCAAGAGCACTCAGTAATTCTTCAGATTTTCCTGTCTGAAGGTATAATGAACACGATATAATTTTTCATTCTCAACCTTAGGGATTATATGACTAGAACAATTGTGATCAATCTACATATTTGATGTACAAACATTTAGATAGTTACATTGCTAGACCTAAACCTGATTTCTATTGCTGTAGAAAATATTGAAAGAAGGGGAAAAAAATTCTTGAGTTTCCTCAGTGGGGAGACAAACCAAAAATTCATGTTTGCAATGTGGGAGGAGCAGGGAGCTTTTAGCAGGTATGGGTCTCCTGAGTTTAACAAGAAGGAAATGGAGGAGGATTGCAGTGCAGGCATGTCCTGACTCTGCAGCATGGCAAAAGACTGTGGAGAGCATCTTCCATAACAACTACTAGGAAGTTCACAGAGGCATTTCCTTGTGTCCCAGGAATCAAGGCAGTCACAAACCCTGTTTTTAAACACCCTCCTTTTACAAGTGAAAGGCAAAACTCTGACTCACACATATCCTCCACATGTTTAACCAGAAAGTGTTGCTTATTTCCAACAACGATTAACTGAAGCAGTTTTACACTTTATTATGGTAATTGCATTTGCTAGTATATAAGTTGGAAAAGCCATGGTGAATTCTTTTGTCATTAGCTGTGGTACTCACCTCCAGCAGATGTGTATCTATGCCTTTTATCTTTGGTCCTGGAACTGGTGGCAGGATAAAGGCCATCATTCTAAAAAAAAACCAGAGCAAACATACCATGTGTAAATACAGACCCTATATCTATTTGTTCTCCCTTTTCCTTAGAATGTGACTGAGATTTTAAACACTTCTCTCATATCTTATACATCCCAGTTGGACCTCTGTCTCCTCTCTGCCTCACAAGCTGGGTAAGACAAATCCAGTCACAGCTCATAAAATACCCTTAGATGTATTATAACAAACACCAGTAGTACAAAAATTATTCAACTGGAGAAGTAAAATTATTAATGTCATCACTGGCCAAAAAACAATGAAGTGAGGCACAGTTCAGGAGGGTTAGTGGGGCTGTCTGTGCATATTTGACTGTCACCTGACTACTGCTAAACAGGATTTATGGTGAGGACACGGCTTTTCCAACCACAGTTTCTGTCCCTTTCATCTACTCAGCCAGTAATTTTGTCAGACTTGTACAAAAGCTACAATCTTTGCAAGGCCTTTCTTTTTCAAATTTGATTGAAATTAGCCAGGATTCTAAGAAATCATTTGTGAAATTGATAGAAAGGCTGGTAGAAAGACAATCTCATAATATTACCTTGTTTACTTTAGGAAATTATGACAAAACACAAAGACATGTCTCCTACAGGAACAGGGATACTCCAAGTAATATTTGATGAATATTACATGACTAACCAAGATTAGTCTAGATCTAACAGAGATAGATGTAATAGAGACGGATATTTACCAACTGAGAATTTGGCCTGGCGTCCATAAGGAACAGAATCACTGCTTTATCAGTTGCAAATTAAGTCAAATACCTATAACCAACAGTTTATAAGCTAAGGCAAATGTTGTAGGAAATTGAATCAAATATTGGAAGTCTATTTTTGAAAAGTTTTCTCTGATCTTGGACTCCATGTAATTGTGAAATTGGTGGCTTACCTGTACCCTTTCATAATCATTATCCAGCTCATGATTAAACATATAAGAGATGACAGGACACCAACGATGATCCACACAACCATATCTTTTACTCTAAAGTCTAAGAAAAACCAGAATTATTCAAGGACACGCATCTAGCATATGCATAGTCAGCATGCCAAAAAACCTTGCAAATTACTTTTATTCTAAAAATTGGCCTAAACTGCCAGATTTATTAGCAAACAGAGGCCTTCAGCAGCACAGAGGGATCTCAACAATCCCTGTAATATCAAATAATCAATATAATTTTTACTAATGGTACTGCACAGGAAATAAACTGTCTTGGAGAAATCATACAAAAATGCATTGAAGAGGAAAATTTTGTCACAGCAAATTATACAGATTGGGTTCAAATCTATTTGTACCAAAATGGTAGTCATTTCATTATGAAATACATATCATACAATTAATGAAATGCTGGGTAAAGTGACCTGGGATTACATATTTTAATGGATTTTTATTGTAGTGTAATACTTCTTATATTGAAGTGCTTATTTCATATTAATTCTGGATAAAGAGTAATTAAGAGCTGTTGCTGTCTGAAGGCAGTCACTCTTTGTTGTCTGTGTCACAGTTTTAATGCTGTTGTCAGTGTTCTTTTAATTAAAAACTACCATAAAGAGAACAAATGAGGCAATAGACAGAAAGGACATGGTTTAAATAAGCAAAGAAATTATTCACCCTCTTAACTCTATCATAAAATAATGAAGGGGAAAGGTATCTCTGTATGGTGCAGTAATGATAAGGATTTGGTTACCTTAGTAATAATGTTCTTGTCTGTCCTAGGGAAACTAAGGGATCTGCATTGGTGCCACAAACAGCTAACAAAAAATATAACATGAACTTGCATGTAATAACAATTATGGAAGGGATGCCTGGCCACTCACCAGTAGGGATCTCAATATACATTTCTGGGCTCCACTCACTCCACAATCCATGGTGGTCTGGTTTGCAGTGAATCTGTACAATATACCTCTTTCCAGGGTTTAAACTAAACATTTTGCATTGTGTTTGCTGTCCAACAAAAATAGTCTGGAAATAAAATAAATGTCACAGCTAAGGTTTTGGTAATCAAGATGGGAATATAGAATTATTCTGGATATCTTTTCTTAATAATTGTTGAGCAGGCATGGAATAATGGTACATTTATTTTATTTCTATAGTTTAGCTTTCTAGCAGGTGGGAATGAGATCTGGCTCTGATATACAATGCAAATTAAACTGCTGTAAAAATACATCATGAGTTTATGGCAAATCGGAGAGGAGCTGTGGTAATGATAGGAACTGCAACGGTGACAGGAAGAGGAGGAGGCAGAGGTGAATAAGGGAGGAAGAAACAGAGATGGAGAAAGAAAATGCAGACAGGAGGAAAGAATGTAGAGTGGTGGAAATGCACAGGGTAATAAAAAGTAGGTCTTGCAATGGCCAGAAGGACAGAGGGAGGGAGAAGGAAGGAGGAAATACAGAAGTGGTTTGGAAGTTCTGCAGACAAGAAGGGAATGGAGTCAAATACCAACAGCTGGAGTCTTTCATTTGCCACTCGGCTGCTTAAGATGTAGATCCTGGCCATAGAAAATTATTATTGTTGTGTGGCCACTACAATTACCACCTAATGTTTATTTAGTAAATTTTAATTATTTTATGTAATGTTACTGAGCTTTCTGTTATCTAAGAAGTGCTTGTGGTTAAGAACAAATTATCATGGAAGAAATGTGACTACATGAGAAGGAATAATTTAAACTACAATGCCAATATGATTAATAAATAATGACTACAATTAAAAACAAATACTTTATCACCTCCTATTTTACAGCAGCATCTGAGATACCAGCAGGAAATCATAGGTCACACAAGCACTTTTGAAAAATTATGAACTATTTAGAGTGTCTGTTTCATTACGTTCAGGCATGGGACCTGGCTGACAAACTCTGACTGGTCAGGAAACATTATCTAGCAAAAACTTGTGACATCCTTACCTCCCATTCCTCTCCTTCTTCAGGCTTTAGTCTCAATTCATATTCAAGGGTAAGCCATCCAGATCTGACATCAGCCAGTGGGGGTGGAGACCATGTCAGTACCAGATACGGTTTTCTCTTTATTGACTTTTTTAATTCCAGCGTTATATTCACGGGAGGATCTGGCTGTACTGTTGAAATAAAAGAACTGTCAATAAGAATCTAAGTGACTTTTTTCCTTGCAGCTTTGGAACTGCTACTGGAATATACGAATCAAGAGTTTTCAGATAAAGTAAGTATGGCTTTATGAATTTTAAAATCCCCCTGAATAGTAGTAAGTATGTTGAATTCATGTTGAGATTTGCATTAACCATTTATCATCAAAAATATTTTTCTTACATTTCCATTTATTGTTACTTTTCTCCACAACTGTATTTCAGAGTTAACATCTTTAATGTTATGTTATGAAAGTTGTGTTCTACTATAATTTTATCAGAGCTTGGCATAAATATTTAGGAACACTGAAAACATGTATGCAGCTAATGAAACTTGTCACCTCCATCTTTTACATTCAGAAAACACATGATCCCTACACTTTTAAGTAAGTATACTTAAAAGTAAATTAAGACAGCATATTAAAGCTCTGTCTGTATTTAAAAAATAAACCAAAATGGAACACAGGTTTCTTCTACAGTCAGGTTTGCATCTTCCTCAGTTCACAAGTAGGGCTTCTGTATATTGTGCATATATTTTACCACTGTCTGACCGAAGATTCATCAGGTCATTGCACTGAGGTAAAATATAAAGCCATTTCTCCAGCAGCCTTTTTCCAGTTACCAGACACCTGGCAGCCAGATCCTTGACAACAAAATGGTTATCAAGGATAATGTTCCGTTCCCTTAGATAAAACCCTAATTATTTGTCCACAGTCACTCTGTAGAAAAAGGCTGAGAAAGAGATTATCAGCACATTGCTATAAAAAGCACTAATGCAGCTTCTCTTGTGTCTGGAAACTACTTTTGGGTAATCAGATTTAAGTATTATTAATTAAAAGATCAAATTGATTTCCGTTGCTTCTACAGTGGAAAAAAAGATTTTAGCTGGATGATGTTTCTTAGGGTTTGGCTACAAGAAATATGGAAAACCAATAAATGTTTATCTGAACATAATTTTAAAGCTTTTAGCATTTTTGGCTTCTTCTGAAAATAAGATGGTAAAGGGATGAATATTGATTTGTTATTACACTAAGGAATATCTTAGTTGTATAAGTTTTTAACTTGGATATAATACTACATATGAGGAGAGCTGAAATTGAAATTCTTGTGTCAAAACCCATGATTCTGAATTATTTGGTTCCACAGAAACTACTTTTTAACTCTTACCTATGTAAGTCACATCCACATAATGAGGATCAGAGACGTTACTTCCCATTTCATTAGTTGCCCTCACAGTAATATTGTATATGGTCCAGAAAGAGGTGTGCTTTTTATTGAAGTAGCATGAATTGGGGCCTGCAGTTTTGTAATCTGGACATTCATAAACTTTTTCTTCTCTGAAATGAAAGAATCCCAGTGATTAGATTACACAGACTAAACCACCTGATTTTGGTTGCTAGTACTTCAGTATTATTTAGGGCTGGATCTGATTTTTCACACCTGGCACTGTGAAGAAAATCAGAAAAATGCTTCCAGACTAAAGAGTCATTGGACAATCCCAGAGACTGTACTAAGCATTTTCCCCACCAAGTAAACACCACAAAGCCTGAAGAATTTAGGCTATTGCAGATGCAGCTGTGGGCTAGTACAGCACAGCTCTTACTTCTCTGAAAGCCACTGTCCACTGCACAGCCCAGAGCCCTTACATATTCCAGTAGAAGTCTTCTAACCTATCTATTAAAAATTATGTATTTCCAATGTTCATCTCACACTTACAGGAATTCTGCATATTACACTAATATGCTTTCAGAATTTATTTGGTCTTTCATCTCTTGATCATTAAAAAAAAAAAAAAAAAAAAAATCTTTGTACTCTCCTTCACATCCATACCCAAGCTTCCCAAAGTCAGAGGAGGTGTAGGAGATAAAATTGAATATGTAATATTTGTTTTCATACTCTTCATGGATGCACAGAAGAAAAAGTAGAAAAAGTTATGGATGTGGACCTCTTACTCTACCATACCTGGCTAGACCAATATCTGTCTTTTTACACTATGAGTGGGCTCTCAGTTAACATTTACAGTTTAGCATCTATTTAGGTAGTTGCAAAGTAGAGCAGTACTACGTGAAATTAAAAGAACCAAGACCTAAGAACATTTATTGACTCTTTCTTTAAAATGAATGTTTAGCACTTTATCTGAATTCCAAGGACAGATTACAGAAACTAGAAGGCATTCATATCTTATGAACACTAGTGCAAAACAAGTCTTATGAGAAGATAAATGTTTTTGTATCTGGTCATTTGGAAAGTTTTATTTATAAGACTGCATGTTGAAGAGTTTTAGGACTGTGCAGTTTTATTGTTAAGTGTATTTACTAATACACTGTTGATGAGCAATGAAAATACAGAATTCACAGTAAATATATACCTGCCATTATAAAGAGATCAAGATTTAATATTTCAGTCTTAGACATGTTGCTGCTTTAGTGTGATGCTAGAGCATGCCACTGGAAAAAAACATGGACTATAGAAAATGGCATCTCCCAAAATAAAAAACCAATGAGGATTGATTTTCCAGGTCCTTCCAACAAAACACTGAATAACTATACAGCACTCATTACCCCTCTTTGCTGTAAAGCAAAGTATGTTTTGTCAAGAGTCCTCCATCTGAAGCAGGTTTCCACCAACAAGTAAATGTTTCTTTTTCAGGAGAACGGCACTTTATTATTATAGGCTTTTCAGGAGGTAACTGTTCTGTAAGAGATAAAGAAATGAACTAATTATTCATTTTAATCGATTAGGTCCATCTTGAATTTGTAAAACAATGTCAAACAGAGAACAGGAAAGTATGAAAAAAGAAAAAGTTTTGCTTCATAGTGACACAGGAAAGGAGGGACCATTTCCTGCTTAGGGCAACAACTTGCTACTTTTACCTGGATTCAGAATTCACTCTCACTGCAGCCGCACTGAAGAACAGTTTTAGTTTTCTGCCTGTGGCTTTCTTCTGCCCCAAAATCTCATAAAGGATGTTGAAATACTGTCACAGCAGGCTCTATAAATATTTAAAATACACTCTACTATATCCAAATAGATTGGATAACTATTTTCTATAGTGTTCTGGTTTCAGCTAGGATAGAGATAATTTCTTCTCAGTAACTGGAATAGTGCTGTGGTTTGGATACAATATGAGAATAATTTCCATAATACAAGGATATTTTGTTACTATGTCATGTTTATCCTAAACCAAGGACCTTTTTGTGTCTCCTGCTCTGTCAATGAAGAGCTACAAAACAGAAAAAAAGGTTGGGAGTGACCATAGGCAGGACAGGTGACCTGACCAAGAGGATTTCATAGAACATTATCTCCAGCATACAAATTTAGGAATTACCCAGAACCAGTGACCATCAGGATTCAGAAATGGAGTCTGACACTGACAAGCAGTGGGTGAGAAAATATATTGTCAAAAATTTTCATCATCATCATCATCATTTACTATTATTATTATTATTATTATTATTATTATTACTACTAAATTTTACTTTGCATTAATTATTGAACTGTTCTTATCCCAGCCCACAGATTTTACCTTTGATTCTTCCCCTCATTCATGGTGACATATGAGTGAGCAGCTGTGTGCTGGTTTGTTGCCAGCTGGGCTTAAACCATTAAATACAAAACAAATTATTTTTCAAAATATGTGTTTTAAGATTATTCTGTTTGTTTGAAAGGTATGCTGTCATTTTCTTTTGCTTTTAGGTAAAAAATGAAGAATGTAAATCTATGGCTATTTGTTTGTGTTCTTGGCAGTAATATCCTTCTGAAGTACTCAAAATATACAAAGAAGCGGCTCTCATATTTCATTGTAATGTTTTTATGTTCAATACTCAGGCTACTTGCTTGATTGCTCCTGAGCAAATTTTTATAGTTTCAAGAACAGCACTTAAGAACTGGGCGGAGAAAAATGCTTAAATTTTGAATAGGAGGATGCACGTCAAAACCCTGAAGTGATTGAAACTTTTGCAGTTATGTATTTGTGGCAAAAATATTCCTATTACATCAATAATATATATTTTCTACAATGTACAGGAGAGACATTGATTTTCCAAATTTCTAATTGCCTAAGGCAGATCTGAAAATGGGACATTTAAAAAATACTTTTCTATTAACAGTACTTCAACAATATCCATGTCTAATAATGAATAATACAACTGGTAACTGAAGAAGTTTTGAGACAGCTAAGCTAAAGTGTCTGGCAACAAGATATGATGTCATACATATTTAGTGTGTCTACTCAAATTCAGTAAAACACAGATAGTGACGGTGATAATATCTGTAACTGTCATCAGTGCTTTCAGTCCAGGCCCTCATACAAAAACCATTACCTGATATTTATAGTTACAGATAAAATCAACATGATTTTTAAATAAAGACACAGGGACAATAAATTATTTAGGCACACCTGTATCAGAAGTGACTTCCAACTAAATCCCACCTTGTTTATCATAGCCAGTTTCAGCAGAGGATCCTGAGCAGATCAACAAGATTAAGAAAGCAATTACACAGAAAGTATGGTAAAATGCACTGAGCACTACAAAGTACCCATGTGAAAGGCCAGGTTTTCAGGACTAGCATTTAGACATCTTCACAGCATCGAACCTGCTACACTTTAAAAGCAATTTACAGAGCAGCAATCACCCACTCACCTTTAGGGATCTGAATGCTTCTTTCTGAGCTCCACTCACTCCATTCTCCGAGGTCTAACATGCAACGCACCTGAACAATGTACTTCACCCCAGCTTTCAGGCTGCTCACCTCATAGTGTGTCTGCATTCCTACAGATACTGTCTGTAAAAGAAAATGGACTGGGGAAAATAATAAAGAATTGGACCACTTAAATGAATAAACCATAAAGGAATAGGCATGAGTCTGACTTCTGAAAGTCAGGGAAGTTAATTTGCGTATTTAGAAGGTATCAATTACAAAAAAGCAAAAGTAGTGATTTAACAGGAAAAAGAGCACTGCTGATTCTGATATTCAAGAGCATATTGAACTGTAGACTTCTTAATATTCCATCAAATCCACAATGCAAAGAGCATTACAAATAGTTCAGCCTACATATAAACCCCACATTGAAATTCTTCTCAGTGACTTTAAGTGACTTTCTCAGACCCTTCTAATTTCTCCTCAGAACTATTTCAAAATGCATAGCATTCTCCATCATTAAGGCATCAACAAGCTAAGTAGCATTTAAGACATGTGACTATAAGTTTAAGAATGACATTTTGTCCTGAAAACTAGCTGAAGCAGTACTGAAGCTGATTCCTAGAAATGTGGCAACAGGTGTGGAATGTCACTGGCAATAGTTAAATGTCTGTAATTTCTGAGGGGCACATTGCCTCCAGCTGATCATGGTGAAGAGGATGATGATAACTGGGTTTTGTCATACATAACATTAGGATGATATGTAAATATATTGAATTTCACGGTCTCTACAGACCACTCAACTTTTCTTTCTTTAATCAGATTTGGTTACATTAATTTTTCTATTCTTAATTTTTTATAGGATCAATTAAACTGAGACAAGAGAATTCACTGAATAGAGCATTTATAAAATAAATATATTGTCCCTTACCTCCCATTCTTCCTTTTCCTCAGGCTTTAGTCGTAGCTCATAGTGATATACATGCAAATTAGAGCTGGCATCAGCTAATGGGGGTGGAGACCATTTTGCCCAAAGGTATGACAGGTTAGCAGATATGTTTGTTTCTAGAGAGAGGTTCACAGGAGCATCTGGCTGAACTGTATAAATGAATGAAAAGTATGCAATTTAATTTTTTCTCAGAAAAAAACACCTCCTTTATGTTTTTGTACGTCATCGTATTATTTTCAGATAATTCAGCACTGTAAAAGAATAATAAAGTATTTTATTTTTTCTTTCTCCTCAATGAGTTTAACTAGCTCCTGATTTCCAACAGTATCAGCAAATCTTAAACTTTACTCTGAATTTGTAAGGCTAAGGAAATACAAATCATAATTTTATAAGGCTACTCTTACAAAATTAAAATGTCAGCTATTTCACAGCTAGGAAAACTAAGTATATTATAATTAAAATGGTATATTATGTGTGTGTGGAAAGTAGAATGGAGTCAGGAATATAAAATACTACAGAAAACCTGTATAATGCTCAGGCAGTTATTTTTACCCTTCCATGACTGCGATGTCAGCAGTTAGAAAGACTTTTACATTTGAAATATTAGGTAGCTTAACTTAATTTGAAAATGTTATAATCCACATTGAGTCTAATTAAAATACTGCAGACAACTAGAAAATGAAGCAAATTTTTCAGCTAAAGTTAAGAGGTTTAAATATTCAGACACAAAATTCCTACAGTCAAGTATGTAGTTACTTAATTTATAATTAAAACACAGTTTTCACATATGTTTAACATGCATATTTGAAATTATCTGTAAATAAACACTTTTCGGTAGCAAGTTTCACATCATGAGGAAAGAAACCTTTCACCACTGCCCGTTCTGGAATTAAAAATTGCACACATGTCCAACTAGTTTGTTTTCCATTTCATTCTTTGATTTTACCTATGGAAGTTACATCCACATGCTGAGGATCTGAGCTGTTACTTCCAATCTCATTTGTTGCCGTTACAGTGATAATATATGTTGTCCAGGGATTAGTGTGGTTTTTATCAAAGTAGCAGGAATTTGGACCTGATGTTAGGTAGTCTGGACATTCATACATTTTTTCTTCACTGAAACAAAATGATTTAAAAATTTAGGAAATGAAGCAATACAGATAATATTTTACTAATGGAATAGATTTCAAAAATCTGAAATATTTGTGTTTATATATATATATATATATATATATATATATATAATCACATATATAATATATAGATATAGAGAAATTAATAAATATAATAAATGAAAATATTTATAAATATATAGAAATATATTTTATATATGAATAAAATGTATAATTTTATATGATCTATATCTATAATCCCATATCTTGGAAACATTTTGGTACATTTCGAATGCTATTACCATAAATGCTTCATATACATTTCTACTGATGTTGTTTTCATTAATGCTTTCACCCCTTTTTTTATACATAGGAATAAAAACTAAAGAACAGAAACATAAATTTTAACAAAGAAATTTCCAGAGACAGAATAAAGAAATTTTAACAATATTTATAAGCAAGTAAGAGGGAAATAAAAAATATTTCCTTCAGTTAGATAAGTTGCTAAATATCTTTGCATATTACCCCTAGAAATTAAACTTATGGACCCTATGGCAGAGGGTTCTTTTATTGATTAGTTTTTTTTTCAGCAAGGTCAGAGAATCATTTAGGTTGGAAAAGACCTATAAGATTGTCAAGTCAAGCTTTGACCACCTTGTCAACCAGACCATAGCACCAAGTGCCATGTCCAGTTGTTTCTTGGAACACCTCCAGAAATGGTGACTGCCCACCTCCCTAGCCAGCACATTCCAATGCCCTACCCATCCTTTCAGTGAAGAAATTCTTCCTAAGATCCAACCTGAACCTCTTCTAGTGAAGTTTGAGTCTGTTTCCTCTTGTCCTATCACTATGCCCTGAGAGAAAAGACTGACCCACACATAAGCACAGCCTCCTTTCAGGGAGTTATAAAGTGATAAGGTGCTCCCTGAGCCTCCTTTTCTCCAGGATAAACACTCCCAGCTCCCTCAGCTGCTCCTTACAGGACCTGTGCTCCAGACCCTTCTCCAGTTCTGTTGTCCTTCTCCTGACATGCTCCAGCACCTCAATGTCTTTCTTGCAGTGAGGGCTCCAGAACAGCACACAGGATTTGGGTGTGGCCCCACCAGTGCCCAGTACTGTCTTGGTCCTGCTGGCCACATTATTGCTGACACAGGCTGGGTGCCACTGGCCTTCTTGGACACCTGGGTACACACTGGCTCATGTTCATCCCCAGATCCTTCTCTGCTGAGCCACATTCCAGCCACTCTACCCCAGCCTGGAGTTGCATGAGGTTGTTGTGACCAAGGAGAGGACCTGGCATTTGGCACCTCACACCATTGACTTCAATGCAAATCCCTCTGCAAAGCCTTCCTGGCCTCCAACAGATCAACACTCCTGCCCAACTTGGTGTCATCTGCAAACTGGCTGAGGGCCCTCTCTATCCTCTCATCCAGATCATCAGTAAAGATAGGACTGACCCCAGCACTGATCCCTTAGGGACACCACTAGTGACCAGCTGCAGCTGGATGCAGCGCTGCTTCACCACCACTCCTTAGGCCCAGCTGTCAGCCAGTTCTTAACAGAGCAAAGAACACTCCTTTACAAGCCATGGGATGCCAGAGTTTCCAAGAGAATACTGTGAGAGGCATTGTCAAAGGTTTTGGTGAAGTACAGGCAGACTACATCCACAGCTTCTCCTGACTGGGTCACCTGTTCATAAAAGGAGATCAAGCAGGACCTGCCATTTATAAATCCAGGGTAGCCAGATCCCTTGGTTGTCCTGTGTGTGCTGTGTGGTTGCACTTGAGACAACTTGTTCCATGACATTCCTGATGTCAATTTATTTGCTTTTTAACATGATCATTATCACAACTATCTAAAAAAAAAAAAAAACAACAAACAAACAAACAAAAACCCCAAACAAACAAACAAACAAAAAACCAACCCAGAAAACACAAAACAAAACAAAAATTACAGTCTATTACTTATTGCCTTTATATGGGTTTTTGGATTCTTTAGGAGAGGGATTATTTTGTGCTCAAAGCTGGCCTAGGTTATGTACTCACAGGCTACTGAGCTAAGAAGAACTATACAAACCCAAAATATCAGCTGATGCAGCGTGAGAATGAACATTAATTCCATTATGATGCTTTATGTATCATCAGCAATAAGGTTTCTTAATTTCCAGGCAGTTTTGTCAAAGAAAAGTTCACAAAGAAAAGATGGGAGAAAGGGGTCTATACCTAAGAGAAAATAATCCTAGAAAGGCAATTGTGGCCCAGGTCTAAAAATGCTTGGCAGAACCTGGGTTCAGCAGATTTCATGAAATGGATAAGCACTCCTATCCTTCCCTAAGCAGAATGGCTTTGGGCAGTGACAGGTATGAATTAAAATGTTCATTTAAACTTTTTGATCAAGACTGAAACATCTGGGCTTTCATGAAATAAAAGTTCTCAATTCATCATTGTGTGTGGTAACTTCATTAAAGACTGCATCTTTTTCTGCTCAATGATTTGGAATGTTTAATTGTAGCAGGGATGTCTGAGGCTTTATCTTATCTATTTTGAATCTCCCTGGATTTATTAAAAAAAATATTAGTCTCTGAGCCTCCCTGCTTACTTGTCCCTGTTCAAAAACTAACTGTTTTCAGGAAGAAAGTAGTTAAACAAAGATGGACAGGTTAAGTAAAGTTGCCAAACATATATACTTCATTCCTGAACAGGATGAGGAAGTTGAGAATTTACCAAAATATTAACTTTTGAACTGCAATACCCATGTATCATTTCACTGCATTTTGGTAACCGTTGACCACAAAACCAACAGAAGAAAAATGACTATAGTCCAGATGGGGGTTTTGGTGTGCATGGCAATGGACAAGCTCCTTGGCAGGCCCCAAGGGCCCTGCCAGCCCTCACTTCCCAGCCCCTCCATGGGGACCTGGGTCCCAGGTCTCCAGTTCAGCTGGTTTCTAGCTCTACAGAGCCCTGCCTTTCCCAGTCACAGCCCTCAGAGCCAGCCCAGCCCCTGAGCTGATGTCCTGGCCCAGACTGGCCTCAGCCTGTCTCTGTCCCCAAGAAAGTGACCGATGCCAGGGCTGGGCTGCCCCCCTCCTGCCCTGCTCCATGGCTGGGGTGATGGGAGATCTGCTGCCCTGTGATGCCTTTATGCTTCAGTGCTCAGAGGAGACCCCATTCAGCTGAAAGCTGTGTGCTTCCCAAAAAGATGGGCAAACACACCTTTGCTCCCAGCACATCTTCAGACAAGTGGGATTTTTGGTAGATGAGTTTCAGGAGGGACAGGCTGAAGATCTGGGGCTGTCAGTGGTCATGTTTTCTTCTAACAAGGGAAGCCATGGATCTTATACAGTGCTTGTTGTCTATCTGAGGTTAAAATGGATTAATAAAAACAACTTTAGAAATTAATGTCGTCATTCTCTTGGTCTGTCATAACCATCACTTTATCACTTACAGAGTACATATGCACCACTTCTTACCTGTCCTTGCTGTAGAACAGGGTATAATTGTTAGGGAGTCCCCCATCTGAGCCAGGCTTCCACCAACATGAAAAGGTTTCCTTTTCTAGAGAACGACATCTTATTATCTGAGGTTTTCCAGGGTACGATTGACCTAGGAAAGTGTAAAAATCCAATTAGTTAAATTAGAAGTGGACAGTGCTTTTGGATGCTTGAATGCTAAGTCAACCAAGCATTCCTTTTTTGAAGACAATAAAATTACATGAAACTGTGAACTGAATTGGGAAAATAACTCTGCCTGGGAAAAGGATCAATATTCCCAGAAAAAGCAAATACATTTTACCTCAAACTTCTGAAATAGCTAGTAGAATGATTTTGCTTTTTAACATGAGCATTTATTTTTTTTACCTAAACTCAAAATGGTATATTTATCTCCAAATTAAACTATGAAGATGGGAAATAAATATATGACCTTTAGGGTTTGTCCCCATAAACATTACAATTTTGTATCTTCAGATAATTTTAAGATTAACTTTCACCTTCAACTTTGCAACAGAACTGAAATTCCATTCTTTTTGCATATTTGGGGTAAATTATAAGTCAGAAAATTATAAAAAGAAGGAAATAAATGGGCTAGATGGAATTTTTTGGGTACTGGGCCACCTGAATGTATTCATTCATTGTTCAAATATTCCCTGTTAATCCAAATGCATTTAAGAATATTTCTTGTTAAGACTACTGCTCATTAATTTACACCAAGAATAAAGACCATACATTTACATTCATTTTAAAACAACAAGTGTATGATCTTTTAACCTAAGCTTATCTTTATTTATCTTTATTAAGTTCCATGTAATCATCTCAAATAGTGTAACTATTCATATGCTAACTCCCAAGAAGTTGGCAAGCATAAAATGAATATAAGGTGTCAGTATTGCCACAAAACAATCCTTAAAATAATTGTATAAATAGAAAAGACAACTCCAGCCATTTTCATACCAAAATCCAAAAGAAAGTAATTGGAAGAGGTACATGCTCCACTGACGGTCAGGATAGATTGGGTAAAGCCTCAGACTTTTCTAAAGAAAGTGTCTTAAGGAAAAAACAAGCATTTCAAGGGAGTGTTGTACTTACCAGTCAGACCTACTGTAGTCAGTGCAAGCTGAAAAATTATTTGAACTGATGAAATGTATCTCTGTTTCATGATGCCTGTCTCTCCTCAGGAGGAAGTATCAGATCAAGGGCTCACTGAAAAACATGGCATCATGCAAAAGTCAGTAACAATGCTCAGCAGATAGCACGTATCACTCAACTTGGTCAAAGTCCTTTTTGAATTGCGGGCAAATGATTCTTGTCGTCTCTCAAAAAGGTGAGGCAACACCAACAGTTCCACTTTGGAAGTTGAAAACCTGAATCTAAGAGAAGCAGGTAGGCCTTCCTAGAGGTCTTTGAATGATTAACAAATCTTGCATATTTCTTCGGCATCTTAGGATACTGGGTTCTTATCTTAGAGTTCTAACTTCTAGATTAAATAATTAACCTAAGAAAGCAGCCTTTAGCAACAAAGATATACTTTTACCCCTACTGCTTCAAAGAAGAGGTCAACACACTTGAACTCTGAAAGTCCTGAAAACAAAAGGCAAATAGAAAAGGTCCAACATTTATTTAGAAGTTTATGATTTTTGATCCAATCTCAAAATATCTCAATATTTAGGACTGTCAGTGTTTGAATTCAGGATTCCTTGAGCTGAAGAACGTTACTCTTAGTGCATTCAACTAATTGTTTTTACTGTGTTTGATTTTGTAGTAAATTTCAGCTGAAATACTTATTTGCAAGCGGTCACCAGCTGGGACCAAGACCCAGTCCCTGCCGTGGGCTCAGAACCACTAGATGTCCTCAGAATTCAGGTTACAAACTCTGGGTGCTCCGGAGTCCCTGTTGCTGCTAAATCTGTTTGCTTAGCCTGAAGAAACGACTAACGACTTAAAGCAAAGCTCCTGCTTCTCCCACCAGTACGCTCCTTACTTGGAGATGACTGCAGTCAGCTGTCGGATTCTCGGTAGCCAACCTTAGCCTTTGAAACTAAAGTAGAACAATTTATTACCTAAATAGGGAGCTCCCTATTTATCCCTATCTCAGCTTTTCCACTCCTACCGCTAGCACATTCACAGGTACATGTATGCTTGCAACCCATTCCGTGTAGCACAGCATGGGAACAAGCTGTGTCCTTGGTGAGGAAAAATCATTTGTGGTTCACCAGATGACTAATTTTTCAGTATGCAATTAATTTTGTACATGAAGAAACTATAATACATCACCATCCAAATGTTTTTCAAGCGCAAAGCCAAGTGAAGTATCAGTTAATACAGCTAAGTCTAAAACATGTTTACTGTGGACAATGTGGAAGAGAACAAGAGTTGGCTACATTCCCATATGCCACTTCTGAATATCCAGGCATTTTTCAAGTGTGTAACTGAGCTACAGGCTGGAAAATTGCATCTGGGTTAGTTCTAAACTCACTCAGAGCATTTTGTGCATATAAAGACAGTGAAGAGAGAACCAACCTGGTGTAAACACATGCAGTCTTTATTACTGTAAACAAATGTCAGGCACAAACATTAGTGTTAACTTTCAGAAATGACCCAAAAATAATTATATAGCCCCATAAAAATGGGGCTATATAATGAGGAACCCAGATGTTTGGGCTCATAAAAAAGCACATTTTCTCAGGTGAAGGTGAAATAATGAAACTACAAACAGTAATGATTTCATGTACATATGATAGTATTTTATAGTATTTTATTACTTCTAAAAATAGTTGGAACATTTGTGAAACAATGTACTTTAAAACCAAGACTTATATGGATAAAGATCCATTACCATGATTTTTGTTTTTTTTTTTTTTTTTTTCTTTTATGTGTGTATCTTTCTGTGTGAAGAATTGACAGAAAGAGAAACTGATTACACTGGCTGGAAGAATGAAATTTTTTAATACAACAAAAGAGAGGCATCAACAAGAAGGATCTTTATTAGAGCACTCTTCAAGGAAAATCAAATGATTTTGCAAACTGAAGACCTCAAGAACCAAATTTAATAGCAAGAGGAATAAATTAATGCATTAAAACAAAAGTATTTTTCCTCTTGAGCATTTGAAAATGAGATGATTGTGAACCACTTCTGTAATGTGGCTGTGTGAAAGAACAAGAGGAATATAGGAAAGGAATATGGACTTAACAGTGTCACAGACTAAGCTCTGTATACAGTTCTAGTAACCTACACTTGGGAAAAAAGAACCAAACAGATTTTATAACACAGCTATGAAATGACACAGAGACTGTGATTTAAAGAATAGGCTTTGCACTCCATGCAAGTGTGGTTGTCATCTGCAAACATAAAAGGAGATAAGCTTAAAAAGAGGGAAAATAAGGATGTGTAAAATAAGAATGTTTCCATGGTTGCTTGCTATTCAGTATTTGCAACTCAAATAGGGCTTAAAAGGCTTCTAGAGAGATGTCTTGCTTTTTTGGAAATACTTGCTTAATAAAAAGGTAATACTCACTTTGTCATAATTGTATATAAAGCGCATCTTCCCTATATATGACATGAAAATGTTTTCATACAAGGGTAATTAGCATTATTGAAGATGCTATGAGGTAATGTCTCTTTTAGGACTGAATGCATTCTTTCATAAGGGATGCAGTGGACATTGATTTGTCACCATGTGATCCAAAACCAAGGGTTGAGTAACTGATAATTAAAAGATCATCTGCCTCCTTTTGAAAGTCTTGATTTAATTCCAACCAAGTTATTGCATTCTGACATTCTATCTGAATTTTTCCATTTTAACACAGCTGTTAGATAGTATTCAACAGCTGTACATCATATGCCAGAATGCAGTGCTCCTTGATGGAAATGGAAACTATTACTGGTGTTTTAGAATGCACAGAGGAGTTAGATATTCCTGTGAGATAATTCTGCCCTGGAATTAATAATATATTGAAATTGTAGGTTTGAAAACTGTGCTGACAATGCTGCTAGATGAAGAAGAAAACAAAACACCAGTACTTAAATCAGGTGCTGTAAAGCAGAGTTGAGAGAAACATGTCCTTGTTCTAATTGACTTTTAGTTCTTGCATTCTTTTCTTTCTCTCCTGGCTCTGCTGATGGATAAATTTCTTGAGACTAACAGAGAAGTCTTTACTCAGTTCTGCACAGATGGAAAAATTTTCTATCTGCAACGTTTTCAGGCTTGCAGGAACAGGAACAACTGTGTATCAGCCACTGGCAATGACATTATGTGCAATACAATTTCTGCTTCTGTGGCTAAAGAAATCAAAAGCCAAAAGTACTTTACCAAATCTCTAAAAGTCTGAAAAAGTCTGGCACTTCCATTAGTCATGATAATAAACAATGTTCATCTTTCAGGCCCGGGGGAAGACAGTTTAAGGAGCTCTAAAACACCATAGTACATTACTATTTGAAAGGCTGAACTACAGCTGTATGAAACAAATATAAAAATATGTATAAACAAATATAAAAAAGGAACTCTATAAAGCAAGAATGTAAGAGTTTGTTTGACTATCTAGAACATTCAGCTGTACTGTGGACATGGCAGGAGTGTGCCCCCCCACATAGAGATCACAAATGCTAAGAGGGATACATGTTCCTAGCCATGGCCAGAGCATCATGGCCAGATGTGTTTCTGATTGACGGTGATGGTTGGGATTATACTGCAAATTAAAAGCTCTAGATGTGCAGTGTGACCAGAGATCTGCTTTCCCTCTCTGAATGAGCCCTAATTGGATGTCTCTGAATCCCTCAAGCACCCAGCACTGCCTTCAGGCTGATGTACAGGCTCCAGAGAAGATAAAGAGCTCAGGCATGTCTATGATCTGTGACTGATTCCAGCTGGCAACTTTAAGCACATAGATTCTGTGGGTGTACTTTGTGAGGAAGCCTAGTACCTGCTGCTGGCTATGAACCTAGAGATTCAGTTAATTTACAGGAATTTGAGACTTCATATTTCTGTGTTGCATAAAATGGGACCAGTGGCAAGGACTTTCAGAATTCACCTGAAAAGCATTATAATATATTTTTCCGAAATTTCTCTTGTAAGTCACCCCCTAACAACCCTTGGCAGTCCTTCCTTTGATTAACAGTCAAGATGTGATAATGAACAAAACAAATTGCCTCACCCATGAAGATATGTTTCTCAGTCTGAAAGACTTGAGTCAATTTTAAAAAAGGAAAATTACAAACCCCCAGATTCTTGAAAATAGTTTAGACCCTTAATTCCTATTGATTTTACAGAATTGAGTCTGAAATTTTCTTAAGAACTTTCACTACCTAAACTGACCAAAAAAATAAAAAGAAAAAAGCCAAGAGAAGAAGAAATTACCATTATCCCTACCTTACCAAGGTAAAGAATGCCCAACAGACTCATAGTAGAAGTGTAACAAAAGCTAAAACCTGATTATTTTCTACCATTTTTCTTTTATTTTCTAAGTACCACCTCTACTACCTTTGTTTTCCTACAAAAACAAGGCTAATGCTTTAGCAAACAGTAGTAATCTTTCTCTACCAGTCTCACATTTCCTGAATATTCAATTTTCTTCCCTGGTGGTTTGTAGGTTTAGCAATAATTTCAGGATTTATTTTTACAGCAGTCTCTTACAAAAGAAAATCATAAGCTCTAAGAGGTAAAATTTTAGACACTGAAAGCTAGAACTTGCATCAGAACTTGAAATATTATGTACATTCATCTCTTCCAACTATCAAGCCCAACTCCACAATCACTATCTTATAGTAATTTTAGGTATTTTGGATATATAGCATAATCATAAAGTATAAAATAAAATTTGCTACCTAGGGGATTCATGTATGTGAGGAAGCTTTTTATGCCTCTCTTTCATAAATATTAGATTACTTGAAAAGTTGAAAAACAAAAATTCCATTAATAGTATATTTCTGAAAGTGTCACTACTTTATTTCTAAAACATGAAGAGAAAAAAGGTGACTCTGTATGAGCTGTACATACTGAAGCGCTGTTTAAGTAAATACATCTAAACATTGGGAGTGATAGCAACAGTGGTAAAATACAGTACATGCTTTCCTTTATCTATTTCAAACAAAATTTTGTAGCAATGAGCTTTGGATGCAGTTTAAATTTTCTCATAGACTGTGCTAGGCTACTTGTTTTAAAGGCTAATCAACGTCTGCACAGGCTAGGATACGATCAGATAAAAGC